AAAGGTATTTCGGTCATTTTATATTTTGGAAAATATTGTTTTTATATTTTTTATTTGTGCGTCCAATTTTTTAGTACATATATCTAAAATTTCATTATGATCCGATTTATAGGAAAATAATTAAAAATAAAATAGTGATATGCATTATGAACCGCATGATGAATATCTAACAGCTCACAGTCTACCTATATTACTATTCATTATAGCTGGCCAGTTATTGTTAGCTTTTTTTCATATATATATATATATATATATATATATATTGGGATTAGCCCACTAGCTCATATGAACATATGAGCCCTACGACCCAGATTGAATCTCGACCGATGTGACAATCACAACCTCATTTTGTAATAGAATTTTAATTTTTTTTCTACAAATCAAAATAACTTGAAATTTTAGGTATTCACTATTTTCATCAAGGCGTACCTAATAAAAATATTTAAAAAATAATTAGTAAAAAGTAAATTGACCAAAATATATATATGGGATGAAAGATGAAAAAATAAGTTTGTCTTATTTGGGTCACCATATGGGAATCTCATATTATAGCTAGTGTTCTTTCTTATTTTGTTTCTAGCTAGATAAGTACACAATCTTAATAGGATCCAATTTTTGGGATTCCTATTTCTACATCTAAGATGGTTCTTAAATCCTAATATATATGAGGAAACATAGGATCCAATAACTTGTATGTTATATTTTTACTATTAGTTAGATTCAATTACATCATTGTTTACCTTATAGAATTTGGTGACTTTACACAATATAGTATGAAAGAAATTGTATATCGTAAGACGTTTCAGTTTTCATACAAGAAGTCATAATCACTTTTAATTATTGGACATAATCACCTTTAATTGTTGGATATAAAATCTGCCAGCTTGAACTAAGTCACACAATTCAAAAAATTTTATTTTGAGTTTTGTGCCTAATCAATCAGGCGACTCTACTAAAAAGGAATAGTCTTATTATATGCTCTCTCCGTAGGAAGAGAGATATATCTGAGTGCCATATCATATGACCTACTTCTTGAATTTCACGTGATTCACGTACCATCTCGTGTTTTATATATAAAACAATATAATATCGAATTGGATTCTCATTCATGGTTGTGTAGATGTTAAATATTATTGTGACGCTTGGGCATCTCTAAGGCTAATGGAGGAGCTTGAAAAAAGAGTTGTTAGTGGCAGACAATTGGGGACGGAACTGGGCCGGCGTAGCCCCAGTAACTTGGGCTGAGTTCCAATTACTTAGCCCTTGTCATGTCGGGGTGTTAAAAACAAATTCAAAAATAAATTTTAAAAAATAAAGAATATATTTAAGTAAAATTAAATAAAACACATTCAAATGAAGTTAAAAAAGCAATCAAACTAGATTTTGACAAAAATCAATTTTGATTGGAATTATTTTAGAAATAATCCAGAACACTTTCCAATCGTTGTTAAAATAATTGAAAGCATAAATAAAAAAAAAAAAACATATTACAAATAAATCTTTTATATTTTATAATTTTTATAATTATTGAATTTTTTAATATCCTCAGGCTTGACCACAAAATCGATATACTCAGGAAACTAGGGCCAAGTTGTACACGGCCTAGGGAAAGTTCTAACTTATCAACCATTTAATATTTTAGTTTTTTTCAATTCTTTCAATTTATGTATACTTTGATTGCAGCTCTCCATGGTGCCTTGGGACTAATAGGTTTCATGTTGTGTCAATTCGAACTTGCTCAATTTGTTCAATTACGACTTTATAACGCAATCGCATTCTTCACTGCAATTGTTGTTTTGGTTTCCTTATTCCTGATTTATGCACGACATCAGTATGGTTGGTTCTTTGAATTAAATCACAACTTCTGGTGCATTTTGATAAATTTTCTTAAAATTTATTTTAAGAGTATTATTTTATGACTGTGGCTTTTCGGTCTACCGGGTAACTTTAAAAAGAAAATTTTCAAATTGCATTATTTGGGTAGAGGCTCATCATTTCCACTAAAAATAAATAAAAATAAAAATAAAAAATAAAATAAAATAAAATAAAAAATAAAATAAAATAAAATAAAAAATAAAATACAATGATTCCAATTTTCACACCAAAACAAACATGACGATCATTAACTGACAGATTTTTTTTTTTTGACAAAAAGTACTAATTTTACAAATAAAACAAATATCATTGAGCCACGAACAACACCTAACTCCAAAGGCATCACCCCATCATTATTAGCTTCTCTATAGATATGGGTAGCTTCTCTATGGATATGGGTAAAAGATAGGGTAACCCTATCAATAAGGCGGTAACCTTCTCAATAAGGCCCGGAATTTGCACCAAAGTAATCGAAATTTCCCATGGAATTTTCTGCTCACTATGACACTATAGAACTACATTTTGTGAATCCCCGTCCACCAATAATGTACCACGAATCCTTAATGCTGTGCGGTCAAGCCCTCATATGTAGAAATGCGGGCCAGGTAATAAATCTATTTTTTGAAATTAATTTTAATGCTTAAATTTTAAAGATAAGAAATCTCTAAAATTTAGATCATGAATATAAATAAATAAATAAATTTTAAAAACTATAAATAAGAATTTTAATAAGAAAATATTTGTACCGTTAGTTTCTATTGTTTTTAGATGGAACACCTACTTGCATCCATCTTTAAGATGGATGCTTTACACTTTCTAGATCGCATATGTGAAAATGCAGTCCAGCCCGCATGAAACAATTTTCCATTTTGTTTTAGCTACAGAAATTAAATATTATCAAATAGGCAAAGTTTGTTGTAAACTAATTGGAAATTACAAGGTAACCTGATGTGAGACACGCTTATTTTTGGATTTTTCCTCTGAAATTCCAAGCCGATTGCAATGAGTCCCAGGTCATCAAGATTGGGATCAGCCATGACAAGGAATTGGTTCAATTTCATAGAATTACCTAGTTTTGTCAAAAAAATAAGTGAGTCTATTAGGTAACCGGGCAATTTGGACTAGCCGAGTCACGTGATTTCCATCTATTTGATTTTAAATTTTTTTATTTTTTAGATTTTTGGATTAAAAACAATATTTAAAATATGTTTAGATTATTTCTCATGCAAGTGATCATATATGTTGATGGATATGGTGATATTTAAAAATTACCCACATAAGAAGATCCCATGTTATGTTGGATTGGGATTAGTATTGATAAGTTTTCTAGAGAAAATAGAAATCCAAAAAGATTAGGACTCTTGGATATATTTCTTGGTTTTGAGGATATGTAACATCTATGAAAGTTTTCTGTTTGATAATGATTCCTAACCTAATATATATGAGATGAAAGAGGAAATAATAGGTATGCCCTATTTGGGTTATCATATGGGAAAGGTGGGCTTCTTTTAGAAAGAGATACAAGGGCACAAGAGAAGACCTCCCCTTCAGAGAGAAGAGAGTTTTCTATGGAGAGAAATACCACGATGTGCCTCCTGCAAAGTGAGACGTTGGAGGCTAGATAATAAAATATTGGGACAGCTTTTGGGAGATTTAGGTGAATAAATAAGCTAGAAATCAAAAAAATTTTCATTCTTTTGTAAAACAAAGTTTACTTTGCCCTATTATGGGGGATTCGAGCCTGTCCCCTATTGCTTCTAATTGGACTCGGGCATATCCACTTAGAACATACCATTTTTTTTGAAGAACGATTGTTTTATGCGGGCTGGACTACATTTCTACAACATGTAGAGTGCTATAAAACATCCATCTTAAAAGATGGATGCAAATAGGTGGTCCATCTAAAAACAATTGTAACTAACGGTCCAAATGTTTTCTTAATATAATTATTATTTATAATTTTTAAATTTTATTTTTTTCATATTCATGATCTCCATGTTAAAGATTATACATTCTTTAAAAATCAGGATCGAAATATATTTAGAAACTATATTTATTTCAATGCCCGCATTTTTACATGTACGGGCTTGATTGCATGCTAACCTCGTCCTTTTCTGAAAACTTGTTTTACTTATGGAAATCAAATTTTATGTTGGCTCCGACATGCCTAGAGATCGAATCAACCACAAATCAATAAAAAATTTTCTGTTTTTTTTTCCTTTTTCTGTTTTGGATAATACAAATAGGCAAAGTTGGTTGTTAAACTCGGATGAACTAATTGGAAATTAGGAAGTAACCTGAAGCTTGGAAGACTTGCCTATTTTTGGATTCTGCCTCTGAAATTGCCAAGGACCAAATTTTGATCCGATTGTTATGACTCCCGAGTCGAATCAGTGGGACCAACCCAATTTTAGTCTGGACGGTCCAATTTGACATACTTACTTTTCATCAAAGAAGTAAGTGCGAATCATCTTATTTCCATTTTTTTTTTTCTTTTTTTAATTTTAACTTTTAAGGTTCAGATTAAACATAGTATTTAAAATATTTGTAGACCAATTCACAACCAAAAGCTGATCCAACCTCGATCAACGATTCAAAATCCATCTAACGTGTGAACGTCCCGATCCGGATTCTAAACCACCGCCTGCAGGTAAAAGCATCACCATGGAAGTTCAATAATTTTCTAATATAGAACGTGGAATCTTTTGGCTTCTTGATCACATATAGTATGCTCCTTTCGAAGTATAGTGTATTTCTATTCCATCAGTCAAAGATGAGGATTTTTTAATATGAAAATTTGGGAATCACTTCAGAATTATAAGGTGATTATTCTACAAAAAAAAATGTGAAACTTGAGTTTTATAATCCTTAGATTTTACCATCTAAAAATTGGGATGGTCTTTATTCAATCTTAAAATATTTTTTTTTGTTCTTGTGCAGATGCAATTAGGACAGCGTTTTTATTGAGGTTAATGGGGATAAATCCGTAAAATTTGAGGTAGGTAGGGTTTAACACTAGGGAGTAAATAAACATACTACTCCGGCATATATAAAACATCTTTTGGCTCATTTTTCAACGCAATCTAACCAGCGAGGATAGAGCAGGTGGGAAATTTTTTATTATTTATACTCGATTTGGAGAGAGAGAGATTGTTGTTCATGCCAAACCTGCAAAATACATAAAAAGAGAGAGGCCAATGGAAGGGAGAAAGGCTGAGTTCCACCATGACATTGCCCTCTTACTACTTTTGATGTGGGTGACTATCTCAGAGTGCATCACAGCAGATTCTTCGGCAAGAGTGGAGTTTCTTCCTGGCTTTGAAGGGGCCCTCCCATTCGATTTCTTCTCCGGGTAAGAGAGATATTTTAATCATCCGGTATTCAGAAAATCGACTCGACCAATATACTGAGCCTTAAACTTCAAACTTGGCCCTCTTGTTGCCTTTTCCTTTATCTTCAACACATATACAAACTGTAACTACAGATTTTTGGGACATATATCAATACATCTCTCTAACCGTCGTATACTTAATTTATGATTCTTTTTCAACAAGTTGGTGCTTATCTCTATTTTTTTCCTAGGTTTTTGGAGTGAGATTCAGTGTGTGTATATAATATTTGGAAATGTTATTTATGCAGGTATATTAGTGTAGATGAGGTGAATGAATATAGACTGTTCTACTACCTTATCAAGTCTGAGAATAACCCATCTAAGGATCCCCTCCTGCTCTGGCTCACCGGTGGCCCTGGATGCTCAGGTTTCAGTGGTCTCGTCATCGAAACAGGTCAGATTCACACGTTCTCATTATTTTTACTCTTTAAAGTTTTCCAAGGTGCTCCGTTCCTCTTATTATGCCAGTAAAGATAGGAAAAGATGGGTAAATGACATTAAGGAAAGGCTGTACGTTTTTTGTGAAAAGAGCCCGGGCTTAACGGTTAGCGCTTGACGATTTATAGCGACCCTTCTAAAAAACGCCTATGGTTAATGAAAAAAAGAAAAGAAAGTAAAGCCTCATCCTTAATCTTTGCTTAGAAAGTACATCTTAGCATCGAAAATTTGATGGCTTTAAAATCAAGTTGCAATACCAATTATAAAATTTGAAGCCCAAAAAAAAAAATAGTACAGATCTTGTGGATTATAAACTTTGAAACTAAAATAAACATAATATAGATCTTGTGGATATGTGAACACTAATTTTTAAGGTAAAATGAACAGCTTAGATAATGTGTTCCGATATAAACTAATTTTAAGAATTGAAATCCTAATTATTTTCACAACCTCAAGGCCAAAATGATTGATTTGAAGGTTTTCTAGAGCCTGCCATTGTTGTTGAGTTTTGAGACGAGCTTTTAGTTATTCGATAAAGTTACAGCCCCATTAAACCATTTTCCTTGAAATAAAAAATAAATAAGGGGGGAAACAATTATCTCTTCCGTTATTGAAACCCTTTTTTTCTTTTAACTCCGTTTGAAGGCTGTCATATATAATCTTATAATATTGTTTTATTAAAAAAAATTGAAAACCCACAGTAATAGCCGTTAGGTCTCTTCAATAACAAGGTTATAAAGGAAATAACGGCCGTTACTCTGTGAATAGATAGACATTGTTTAGCCTCCTTAGCCGTAACTTTCAGTGTGGACAATTTCTTATATAACGGCTACTATAGGCTGTTTCTTATATAACGGCCATCTTTTTTAGCACCAGCGCCCGTTACTTTTATATAACACAACATGCAAGTTGTTTCTTATGAGTTCGTGTAACATGTCCCGTGGGAGCATACTGTACACCAACTCCCTCAGGCAAAAGAGTAATTTGGAAGGATTTTTTTGATTGGGGATTCTGCGATCCAAGTAGATCAAATCAACAGAAAAAAGCATATTTAAGTTCTCGAACAGCCCTTCAAATATGGAATGGTTCTTGTACAATCTTTAGGACCTTCATTTCCTGATGCATATGGAGAGTCCTATTCAATTTAGGTTGGTTACTAAGTTCTAGAGGCCACTATCCCCCAAAATTTGGTGTCCAAACATGAATTTTACCCGATGGAGCAAATTCACAGTGTGCTACAGTGGAAGCCGCAAATCATTTTAGGTTTCTTGTATAATCCTCTTACACAGTATAATCGAACCGGTAGTGGTCTCTTTATTGTAGTCCACTGTCATATTTGTTTACTATTACAAATTTTATATTGCAAGGCTTTTGGTTCTAACCCCAGGTTCTTATTCAAATGTGTCACCCTTCCAAATATTAGGGCTATCCTATACATAGAGAAAAAATGAAAAGAAATTTGGTTGGCTATAACGATGGCTGTCTTCATAATCTGTGGTTACGAACTCAAGATGTCATATTGCGGTAACCCACTACCTAACCGCTTAGCGTTAAACCCATTGGTAACCCACTACCTAACCGCTTAGCGTTAAACCCATTGAAAGGAGGCTTCAGTTCCTTTACATAGCGAACTCACCTACCATAGAAAGGAAAGAGACACGCTCGCTCATTTTTAAATTTGAATATTTAAATTCCTTTGACTTATGGCTAACGTGATCATCGTATTTAGCTAATGGATTTGATTAATGCCATCTCTGACTACCTCCTCATGATAATGTACTCATCCTATATCTATTTCTTTATTAAGTAATGGCTGTGAGTGATGTCAGTGGTTCACTTGTTCTTATCATGATAACAAGGAGGTTGAAAAATAGATATTTGGCCCCCACACATTTAGTGGGGCAACATTTTTCTTATTTGCTAGGGTTGGGCCGAGTCGGGCGCATCCCCACAAGCCTGACTGGGGTTTGGGGCCCAAATTTAGTCCACAGAGCAAGGCTGGGTCCTAGAGCTTTGGCCCGTTCAACAATATGTTGGGTCCATGGCCACGCCAACTCATGCTTGACCCAGCCTAGCCCGGTTATATTGGAAGTCCAATATGCCCTTAAAAGAAAATTAAAGTTATGAGGTCAGTTTCGCCTCTTGTTATATATCTAATGTTTCAGTTAAGGGAAAAGTTTATATCAGGTTGAAGCCTTAAGCAATCAAATTAGGCCGCACCTCAAATATTCACTAGAAGATGATGTTTCGTTGTTACATTAAAAAAAAAAACGTTGTTTCGATGTTGAAAAACCTCAAATCAATCATCTTGACTTCGAGATGTATAGACATAAAAAAGAGAAAAAAAATAGATTTCAAGTCCCGGAAATAGTACATCTTTTGTCTGCATTATATAAGCCATCAAATTTCAATATTTTCAAGTTTTTACAGATATGCTCGATTTATCCTATTTTTTAACCTTTAAATTTTATAATTATAGATGAAATAAATTTTCAGGCCATCACAAAGATTTTTACTACTGATAAATCACCTTTCAAGACTATTTAGATGTATGCCTTATTTTTATTGTTTGGGGCCTCAACTTTATACAAACCATACCCTTAAATTAATAGAAAAAATGAAAAAGTTTATATAAGGTTTACTCCGTATATTGTAGAATTAAGATGCACCTCAAAAATCTATGTCAAAATATTGTTTTGCTGGTGGAAAACCATGTAATTGATCAGCTTAATATTGAGATGTATGAATACGAGGGAGAAAAATGATTTTAAGTCCCAAAATAACGCATCTTGCAAAACATTATCTAGACCGTCCATTTTTAAGATTTTTATATGTTTATAGATGTACTTGATTGGGCCCATCTTTAAAGTTTGAAAGTTTTATATAAATAGTGATGAAAATAAATTTTGAGGACATCGTAAGAATTTTTAACACTAAATTTGTGTCTTATGACTAAAGGTGCACCTTACTATGATTGTTTAAGATTGCAACGTTATTCAAACCACGCCTTAGACAAAAACCAAAAGTGTTCATGGAAGCTGTTTAAAAAGCTTTTGAGAGGATACTCACGGTTTCAAGGTGGTTTTTGCTTAAGGAAACATTTTTACGTTGCGTCATCTATATATAGAGAAAAAAATTTGTATAATGTTGCAATTTTAAAATGTAGAATTAAATATACACCTAAAAAACGTATCAGAAAAAGTTGTTTTAATGTTGAAAAACTTGTTAATTAATCATCTCGACATTGAGATGTATAAATATGAAGAAACAAAAAAAGATTTTGAGTCCTAGAAATAGTGCATCAACAAACACATAATCTAGACCGTCTATTTTCATGATTTTCATATGTTTATACCATTTTCTAATAATTTTTTACACCAAAATTACATGTCATAATAAAATTTAGAGGTGCACCTTAATTGGAATGTTTATGGTTGCAACCTCATAGAAACCACACCCATATATAAGACGTGTGCTATTTTTAGTTCTCTTATTTAAATCGTCATATAAATAGATAGCCGCATCAGATTCAATCACAATAACATACGTTAGTTTGTAGCATTTGATCTTGATCGGATGGCTTATAGCGCATGATGTGTTTTTATTTTAAAATTTATTTTACATGACACGTTGGGCATCGCAACATACCACTAACACCTAATTAATTAAGAAAATTTTCTAATAAAAATAAATGACCAAAATACATATGTAACTTGCAAGGTTACCATGAACATATTTTTAACAACATATTTTTATTTTTATTTGATACACACATATAAGAAGTGAGTACACCCCAATTTCATATCAAAATACTATATAGAAAAATAATAAAAATAAAATAATGTCAGGCATTGTAACTGAAATTATCCCAATTGCTACACACGTCTTGGTCAGGAGTTTCTTTATTATTTTCTTTATTACGACTATTACGCATTATATAAGCCAAAAAGATTATATACTCCTCTATAGGTACATCATCCGATCACTCCTTTAGTTATGATCCCATTTATGCGTATTTTTTGGACCTCAAAATTTAGGGTTTAACCACCTCACCTGGTAATATCCCTCAAGATACTAAATTCATATATGCTCTATATATGTCTCAATCAAAACTCTTTCAACGGTATAGAGTTTGTCTAATTTCAAGATGGTTAGATCTAAATGTTCATAAACACAAAATCTAATTTTTCTTTACCGGAGATACTCATCTTGTAAAATTAAAATCCCAAAAATTTCAAATCAGCAAAAATAGTCCCAAGTATGCTTTATATTTGAAGTAAAAGAATTATTTTTAGGGTTGGTATTATGTCCACATGTTGTGATGCTTAAAAGGTGCACAACCACTTTTTAATGGTTTAGATTGAACCAGCCTCATCCAATGGCCAAAAATGAATCTCATTTTTTATTATTAACTTTTATTTAAAAATAATTTTAATATAAAATTTGATTTTTTGGCTTTATTTTTTTAAATAGAATTAAATAAACATAAGTAAAAATTATTTTGAGTAAAACATATTAATCAAAATAAATTTAGGGATATTTTGGTTTTTTATTTTTAAAATAGTTTTTAATTATTTTTATTTAGTTCTCTTTATAAAAATAAACTTATAATCCGAAAATTCAAATAAATATTTTATTTAAATAAAATATAAAATTAGTTTAAGACCATTAGATATGACCTTATGAATCTCAACCATTGAAAAGGTTATGTGCACCCTTCTATCGTGTCAGCGCATAAACCAGGGTGAAGAAATTTAGAGAAAGAACATTTGTGTAAAATTCTCCACACTCATAAAGAGGGATGTATGTTCTATTTATAATATTTTGCAATCAACATATTTGGTAAGAATCTTTGATTGACTCAATCAAGGATTTGGTTACAGTAACATGTACACATATTGAAAGAGGTTACAATTATAATATATCAAGAGAATCATTTCCAAGATCGTATATTTCTAGATTATTCCTATTACTCCACTTCAAACTATTGTCAATGTGAAACATGGATAACTTGTTTGCGATCGAACGATGTTGTGATGCAGGATGACCTTTTGTAAAAATATCAGCAAGTTGTTTTGTAATTGAAATATAATCAAGAGTAATCTTTTCACTTTCAATTTTTTCTTGAATAAAATTATAATCCAATTCAAAATGCTTGGACCGTGCATGAAGAACTGAATTAAAGGCAAGCTTTATTGCACTCTAATTATTACAATTAAGAATTATATGTTGAATTCTAATATCCAATTATAATAGAATGTAGTAGTACCAAGTGATTTCAGCAGCCGTAGAAGATATTACTCGATATTATGCTTCTGAACTTGAGCGTGAAACAATCTTTTGCTTTTTACTACTCCAAGACACTAAAAACCCTACAAATAAAATACAAAATCCAAATACTGATCTTCTTGTATCTCTAGCCCATTAGCATCAGAATAGGAAATAAGGTTAACCTGCATTCCACCAATGGCAATGGAAATATCATCACCTAGGGTAGCTTTCACATCCTTTTTGCTAACATGATGTGTATCTCATGAGGATCATGCCTAAATTGACATACTTGATTGATTGCATATAGGTGATATCCGGTCGAGTAAATGTTAGGTACTGTAGACCACCAACAAGACTTCTATATTTTTCTAGATCTTGAACATGATTACCATCTCTAAAAAATAATCTCTTTGTGGTGATCATTGGTGTTGGTGATGGTTTAAAGTTGCTCATTTCAAATTTTCTAACATATCCAATGCATACTTATGTCATGCCAATTTCATTCCTTGTTTTGTGCCCTTGTCTTCCACACCCAAGAAATATTGCCAAAGCAAACTCACCACCCTATGAGTCACCTACCATCTCTTTCATAGCAAAATCACGAGTCACCTATTATCTCTTTCCTAGCAAAATCACCATCATATAACTCATCTACTATCGCTTTCCTAGCAAAATCACCATCCTATGACTCACCTACCATCTCTTTCCTAGCAAAATCACCATCATACGAGTCACCTACCATCTCTTTCTTAATCAACTTTCTAAAGGTTTGTATCTCGCCTCTCCATACAAAATCATATATTCTAGGCCTTATTCTCTCTGTCAAAAAAAAAAACCTCGTATCAATTACCAAAACAGACAATATTCATTTCTCTCTCTCACAAGATTATTTCTTACCAAAAAAAAGAGGCATCTTACCAAAAAAAAAAAAAGCAGCATTCCCAACTTTACCAAAAAGCATTCCTTTCATCTACCTAAAAAGACAATAGCCCTCTTTCTCTCTCAAAATTTATTTTCTCTAGCTTCAAATGAACTCTTCTTACCAAAACGGTCTCTCTTTCTCTCTCCCTCTTTCTCTCAAAACGAAAAAAGACCCCATAAAAAAAGGGATACTTCTCTACTTTTTTTTTCTTTCTTGATTCAACCTGTTTTTCAAAAAAAGGGACTTCCTTCCTACTATTTCTTTGTCTCCGAATAAAGAAAAAAACCCTCATCTTGCTTCCTCTGTCTCTCTCTCCGAATAAAGAAAAAAACCCTCATCTTTCTTCCTCTCTGTATTGCTTTTATCATGTCTTCATCTATTCAATTTTTGAATGTTCTTCCTCAACTTGTGACAATCAAGCTCTCTAATGACAATTTTTTACTTTGGAAAGACGAAAGTATTTTTATTGTTAGAAGCCATGGAATCATAGGATATCTTGATGATTCTACATTGGAGTCCCTACGTTTCTTCTCTCTGATAAGATGCTTGTAATCCAGAATATGAACAGTGATATGCTCGTGATCAACTCATCATGACATGAATCAACTCTATGTTATCCCCTGATATTTCGGCCCAAGTTCTTGACATTGCCAATGCAAAAGATCTTTGGTTTACCCTTCACAATTCCTATGTGCAACAATCTAAGATGCGATTGATGCATCTTCGCACCGAGCTTCAAAATTGCACACGTGAGACACAATCTATTCAATAGTATTTAAATAAGTTAAAATCTCTCTTTGATCAATTGGCAATTAAACAATATTCAGTTGATGATAAGGAAAAAGTTCGTTAAATTTTACGGAGGCTTGGTGAGGATTACAAAATGTTTGTTGCTTTAGTTATAGCTCGACCACCTCTACCGTCATTTACATGTCTCTGTCTAGAAAAGTTCGTTAAATTTTACGGAGGCTTGGTGAGGAATACAAAATGTTTGTTGCTTTAATTATAGCTCGACCACCTCTACCGTCATATACATGTCTCCGTCTTCTCCTACTTGAACATGAGTTATTGTTCAATCTTTCATCTATAGGAAATAGTGACTCAACCACTGGATCTGGACCACACATGAGGTTCTCTATGCATCCTCTCAAATGCCCAAAGGAAGATGAAAAGCCCCAGGTCATGGAAGAGGAAGAGGACTCGGTCATGGGAATCTAAGTGGTGCTCAAGGTGGTCCACCACACTATGCAGGTCGAGAAAGATGACTTTTACCAAAACCCCCAATACATCTTATGAATAGGACTGATACTGAATCTTGCCAAATCTGTGGTCGCACAAACCATCTCGCTCATCGGTGCTATTATCACTACACTCGACAGAACTCTCAAGACAATACTTTGACTCACTCTCTCAGGTCTATATATCTCCCTTGAGTCAAGTCGGATTGTTGACACTGGAGCTACAAATCATGTAGTTGATGATTCAGGTATGTTTTGATACCATAAAGAAATTTAAAGAAATAATATATGTGTAAAATTCCCCACACCCATAGAGAGATGTTGGTTCTATTTATAATAGTTTTGTAATCAACGTTTTTGGTAACATATTTGATAAGAATCCTTGATTGAATCAATCAAGGATTTGATTACATTAATCTGTACACATATGAAAAGAGGTTACAATTACAATCTATCAAGAGAATCCTTTTCAAAATTGCATCTTTCTAGATCATTCCTATTACAAGGGCGATTTGGCTAATCAATCGGGTTTGGGTAAGGTCAATTGGTTAGGGCTTCTTGGCCTCGCCTGATTATTTTATTGGGCCATCCGGTCCGGGCTTTCTAAGCCCAGCTTAAAGTCATTGTCCCTAGTACTTGAGAGCCTATGCAATAGAGGAAGCCAAATTTATGGGGGTCCGTGACGAGTCTTTTGGATGACATGTATAATATAAAATGCTAAGCCAAATATCTTGCTATACTTTATAATGCTACGTATATTTAAGTCTTAAGACCAATTTTTTAAAGGAAAAAGTTGATATAAGATTGCAACTTTAAAATGTAGAATTACATATGCATCTCAAAAATTCATCGTAAAAGGTTATTTTAAGGTTGAAATGCCCTCTAATTGATCATCTCGACATCAAGATGTATGAATATGAAAAAAAAAAAAGAAAAAAGATTTTGAGTCCCATAAATAGTGCATTTTGCAACACATTATCTAGACCGTCCATTTTCAAGATTTTCATATGTTTATAGATCTACTTGATTTTAACCATATTTTGAGTTTAAAATTTTATAACTAAATATGAAAATAGATTTAAGATAATCTTAAGAAACCTTTACACCAAAATTAAATGTTATGATAAAATTTGGAAGTGCGCCTTAATTGGATTGTTAAGGTTGCAACCCTATAGAAACCACACCCTTTTTTAAAACCTAATAAGCAAGATCAATCTCGATATGATTTGGTAGGTGCATTATTTCTCGAGGTACCATTATTTTAATTATTTTTTGTCATCTTTTAATTATTCAACCAATGTTTCAAAACCTGATCATGAGGGTGAATCATTTATCCACAAATCCATGTAGGTCATTGAATCAACGACTAAGATTAGTCTAGATTAGTCCAAATCGGTAATCCATAAAATATTAAAATTTAGACATAAAATGAAAGCAAAAATTTAGGGTTTGTAAGATGGGGATTTAGGTAGGACTTCATAAAATATTAGATAAGATTAAACCAGGTCGAGACCAATACCATCCCTGAACTAGTTCAGTCTGATTCCCAGTCAAGATTGCCGATCGGATGGGGATTTTTTGTGTTTTAAAATATCGGATTCAACCAATCTAGATTTATGGATGCGCCATTCAAAACTCCATCCGGGTTTTAAAACGTGCTAAAACAAAAAACAATAGGTATATTATTAAAAATTAAATAAGTTTTAAGGAAAAAAAAAAGGTAGGGCCGCTTTTTGGGGAGTATTATCTACCATTGTCATAAGGAAATGGAAAGAAAATGGCCCTTTTTAGTAAAAATTCCTCAGTCCACTGACTAACCTGAACAAAAAAGGGCTATAAATATTTCATATGTGCTTCACAAAAATAACATCTTAAGATTGAGTAGAGGGATGATCACATCTAGATGTTCACGAACTTAGAATCTTAGTTTCGCTTTTTTGAAAATCTCATCTGGTTATTCTAAAATGGATCCTAATATTTTTTGTGTACCTCTTTTTTTTTATATGTTTTTGTGGATTTTGATTTGTGACTCCAATATGTAAGACAAAACTAGAGAAACACACTAAACAGATAAACAACAATTTAAAACTAACTTTTTCACCCCATGTTCCTTCTGAGTTTAATTTTCGAAACCAACTTTCTAACTCAGATGAAGAGAAATGGGGTATACATGGGCCTTTCTTGAGAAATAGGTGGATAATTAGTTTCCGGGCTGAGTCATGGGTGAAAAATCAAATTTTGTTTTGAAATTTCCATAAAGGCCATATTTGCTATGCACATACTTGAGCAAACCATCCATGAACCTCCATGTTCTTCAATTTCTTTTTATTCCTCAATCCTTTTCATGTGTTTTGCTTATTTCAATCATTTGAAGCAATGTTGTCATATTCACTTTGGAGTTTTTTTCGGTTTGGTGAGAAAAATGAAGCAATTCGGTGTTTCGACCGATTTGAGAGAAGACTTCGGACCTTTTTCAAAAATTAAATATAATAAATTAGATATTTATATATATACTATACAAAAATAATAGAAAAAATTTAAAATAAAAAAATACTTATATAAATATGTATTGCTCATCTAACCGAAGCAGCCCGAAGGTTCAGCCGAATCAGACCCGAAGCAGACCGAAGCAGCCCGAATCTGGCCGAAGTGCAGTACCACGCTTCTCTTTGCTTCGGTTTATGCTTAAAATCCAAAGGCTTTGGCTTCTTCGGCTGAAGATAAGTAAATTTGATGATTTGAAGTGGTTTAGCACCATTTTTATATTTTGCATCATATTCCCTGGACTGAGAGAGCTATGGTCATTTTATTCATCTACTCTTCAAAATTTAGCAGCCTCTTTATTTCGGATAATTTTCTATTGTCCCTCAATCTTGTTAAAAAAACCATGTATAAATTATATTGATGTTTAGAAGGTTGAGTAAGGATTGTATCTAAAAAATTTTAGCTTAAAATTTGCCATAGATGGTGGGAAATCAATAAAAAAGGTGGATCTAAATCCTAGGGACTGCAACTCATAAACACCTTTCTCCTTATTTTTTGATTTGATTTGATATGGATCAATGCAGAGAACCCTTTTGGTATATACCTTGATGGAAAGATATCTAAGTCTGAAACAACATATCAAAATTTCAGCTCATTTGGATGTGTGGGTTGGGAGATATGATCGAAACTTGGAGAAAGAGTAACCTCTTGTTTGCTGCTAGTCCACTGCTATAACATGGTCTTTTCCCTTTAAAAAGTGGTGTTCCCTTCGAAAATGGAACCTTCTGACCTCAGATTGTGTCCAAATTTCCCTTAGAGGGATTCCTATACTCACATAAAATTTTACACCTCTTGGACATGGATTTATAGGGTTCCTTTGAAATTTTGGCCTCTTTTGGGTCCGAACTATGCTCGAAATCTTGGACTTCGCAAGCCAAATCTTGGCCGTCGGATATCAGAATGACTGATTGTTTGGAGGACACCTTTAGGGCACCCTAGATTAATATTTGGAACCCTTGGATGGTCATTTGGGCATGTTTGACCAAGCTCTATAATGGCCATGTGCTTGTCCATTTGATATAGCTAGGACTTTTACTTTCCTTCATTTTCACCTCATATTACGTTGATCTCCAAGGTTTTGAGTTAAATTGCTAGAATACCTCAGCTTATTTGAGTTTCCAACCCAAAATTACAAATAATTTTAACATTTTTTAAAATTTTTTTTGAGAAGGTAAAAAAAATTTAGAAGCATGTGGGTTACAACTTTTGAGGCAGTATGGGTTCCAAATAATTTCCTTACACTAAGATCAATTTCTTTAAAGGTAAACATTGGTGTTCCCATATGCTCGGGATCCGTGGCAATTCGAAAATTTTAAGATAGACGGCCCACTTAATGTACAATAAATGAGAGGATATTTCAGTTTTTGAAAGCTCTAAATGAAATCAAATTTAAAAATAATTACCTTTTTATAGTTTGGAATTCTATAGGGTATCGTTTAGCAGGAAGTTACTCTTCTATGAGAGAGGCTCGGTGAACTAGACATGTATGTAAAGATGTGGACTACTTGCACCTGGACAAAAAGACACAGCTTTACCCTAGGATTGGCCTTGGGCCCTTCTTGAGATAAAATTAATTTAGAGGGTATGTGTACATAATAGGGTAATCTTTATAAAATATCAAAAACTAATTTATATAAAGAAAAAAAACCAAAATACCACTCAAATTTCAAGGGAAAATTTGTCATTGCTTTTTACAAATTTTTTTACAATTTTTTTTTATCTGTGCGAATCATTTAGATGTAGAGACACACTTTCAAATCCATCCAATATATACCTTGAAGTACCCTGGTCATGCAATCCAGATCTAACAGTTGCGATCAATAGTATTTTAGGTAATCTATACTGTGGAATTTCAGAGGTGTTTCATTCGTTCTATTTATTTTCAAAAAATATTTTATATTTTTTACATGTTTTTGAGAGGGAGAATCATAGAGTTATCCTATATTTAGAAAATAAAATATTTAGATATAAAATTTAAATACTCAGATACACTCTTAACCGTCCGTGAGGTTATTTTAATCACTATATTGTATATTGTTTCCAAATTATTGTTGTTTTCAAATTATTGTTTTAAATTTTTTATAGGCACTTGAGAGTTAAAAGTATAGAAGCAATTTGATTTATAGAAAAATAAAAGAAAATTGAAATATTTAGACTTGGTTCTCACCTTATGCATTTTTTTTTTTTTTATGTGATACATAGTGTCAAATTCGCTAGACCTATTGTGGATGAGCTATGATTTTGAAATGTCATTTATTTAACAAAGATTACCATATCATTAACGAAAACCTTAATAAATGGTTGAACTTGGCTAATTTTTGAACTTGCCTAATTTTTACATCTCCTAATTTACGACACTTCAGCTCAAACCAAACCTAGTTTTTCAAAAGTGCGTGGTTTGTATACAACCGAGGCTCTAAATATTCAAATTAGAGCCCACCTTCAAATAGTATAAAAAAATGTGGTTTCAATAATGGAATTTTTGACCCACCTTAAAATATATTTTCATCTTTAATCATAAAAATTAAAACTTCAAAAATACTGTAGATCAAGCAGAGCTATGAAAACCTGAAAATCTTGAAAATTGACAGTCTAAAAATGTATTACAATATGCACTATTTACAAAACTTGAAATCTATTTTTTTCTCATTTCCATGCATCTTGATATCGAGATGATTAATTTGATGATATTTGGGAATCAAAATAACTTTTTCTAATGAAATGTTTGAGGTAGGCTCTAATTTGATGGTTTAGAACCTCGGCTCTAAATAAACATTTTCCTTTTCAAAATCCCCATACTTCTAGTCTAATTTTAATCAAACATAGTATTTCCCAATAATTATTTGCCTTCTATATTTCATAATTGGAAATCTCCAATTCTAATCAGTCGTTCCAGCCACTAACTGTTTGATCTAGATCTAAGTACCTTATTTTTAGTTTTTTATACAAATTATATGAATATACAATTTGATAGGTGCCATCATCTCAATGGGTGCAATTAAAAATAACTATTAAAACCTTTCAGGGGTATTTTGGTTATTTTATTTTATTGAAAATGTTTTTCTTTATAGATTTTAGAGGTGAGGCTATAGGAGAGGAGTGGACGCAAAAAATTTAGTGTCAAAATAGTTTGTAAAAAAAATTAAAAATAAAATAGTGTAGAGATGTGACATTGTTATTGGGGCCATCTCAGCCCTCTAATCATAATAGACAGTTGAATAGGGAGAAGCATATAAGTTTTATGTAGTAGGGGAAGCATAGAAAGCTTGCCAATACTATATATATATATATATAT